AATATTTTTCAAAAACCTAAAATAGAAAATAAAAAGTATTTCCTATGCTAATAACTAAAAATAACAATCCACAAAATTGCCAAGTGACTCAAAAAAGTAAGGTTAAATGATTCCATTGTCATCGAAATCGGTAATCTTAGGTTGGGGGCTTAATGAACTTTTAGTTACGTCGCCAGCACACACACGCGCACACATATATAGTCATTTATTATTTGAATCAATCTAAATATTTTTTCATAAGGATATTTTATCTGGGAGGCAAAAAACTAGCTTTAATTTAAAAAAAAATTATTCAAGGTTGAGCACAGCGGAGAGGGAATTACTTTGGAAACTCTTCAGGCCATTCTTCAGATTGATTCGTAAAATATTTAAATCTCTTCAATTTTTCCCAGATTATACAATGAAAAAACCCTCTTGATCCGTCCTAATTCTATCTTTTGTCTAAGTCATATCCTCAAAGAAATCTTGCTTTTGATCTCAACCCAATGATTTTGTCCATGCTGGTACCTTCAATAGAATGTACGTTTCATAGTATTCGATTTCCTCAGACCTTTCCCATGCCTCAGCCTGTTTCTGGCGATACCTGATCTAGTCTTGTATTTTTCTATTCTCAATTTCCTTATAATTTTCTTTATAATTTTGTTAAAATTTGCATGGTTATAGTTCTCTATGTTGACTGTGCTATGAGAAACTTGAATCTTTCTTTTAACGTTTATCTTTGACTGAAATTTCTTTTGATTCAAATGTAACCTTTTGAATATTGTTTAGATACCTTTTTATTCTTGCGAATATTACAACGGTCTTTAAATTGTTTCTTTCTATATCAGCGCCTCTCATTAAGTCTTAGATTGAGCGCATCAATCTCTTAGTTGCTGTTCTAATTCCCCCTTGATACTCATTCTTTTTCCATCCAGCTCATGTTGAATATGACATCTATATATCTTTTTTCCTCTCACTCTGGCTTCAATCATTTTATCACCCTGCCTGGACGGAAGGCATTATCCTGTACAGCCTTAGATTTTGACCATTTTCTTAAATTCAGGAGTCTATTACTCTATTATCTCCTGCCATGTTTTCATATCCCATCATTTCCCTAATCTCATTCACTCATGTGTATATTACGCGAAACAACTATTGCACGCCTATTCTTCGTTTTGGTCGTTAGCTATAAAAGTCTTATGTTTTGCACTCCAAAAAGCAGATACTACTGAAGAGAAGTTTTTATGTAAATTATTGTTTTATTATATGCCAAAATATAATTTTCATTCATGTCTTGAAATGATCAATTCTTATCATTTGGAGTGTGGAAAGCTACATTTGATGTATTTCTAGCAATTTAAATCGTTTACTTTTTGGCTTCCAGACTCATCTGGAAATTACACATCTAGGTGAATGGGCAAACCTTGTTTAAAATAAGCGATTGGGCCTAGTATTATTTAGAGCAAGTAGGTTTTCGAATAAATTTTGTATACGAGTTGTCATCGTCATAGGTTGCATACGATGATGAACGACTGACAGCTGAATTCTTCAAAACACTTATATGAATAGGCTTCACTTTTTAAGATGACCAACGTTGGTAGATAAATGGTCGAGCCATGACGAATTTGAGAGGAACACTTTTTGCCATATACAAAATGTGTTATGCATAGAATCTTGAAGCAGAGCTTATTTATACGTGTGCATGATTGATTGCTAGTAAGAGGACTTAATAATGCTGTCGTTGGCGATATATAATATATAGATCAAATTTGTGATAAAGTTAGTTCTTGGTCAGTCTCGCCAATAATTAACACCCAATACCCTCTTCATTCGAGTTTTTATTATTATCTCTCTCTTTGGGAATGCTTTTCGTACTTTGAGAACAACAATCATAGGTTCCCCTGAGCTAATATAACAAGGAAACATCCACAGTAACTTCGAAGGACGGCTCACTGTGATGCCTCTTATTGAGACACACAAACAAACAAGGCTTGTTTGTTT